CGGAAGGAAAAAAGTGGTTAGGGCAAGTGTAGAAAAGAGATTCATAGATAGTAACAACCCTCCCCCCCCAGAGAGAAAGGAAGATCCTAGGGAGAAGGAAGTGGATGCTGACAGGTCAGGTGGTGGGAATCTGGTTCAGAAAGCTCAGAGAGAAGATGGGCTGAGACCCTATGCAAGTCCTTCTCCATCACAGGGAAAGAGGAAGCATGGGAGCAAACAAGGGAGCAGCTCAGTGCAGGCTCCTGCTCCTGTTGCTTCTTAATGCTGGCCCTTTTTGGTCCATCTCCCATTCATGGCTCATGAGTCTTCTGTGTAAGACATGGAGTGCAGCCTGGTACACAGAACTGAGTAGGCTACAAACTTTAGGAGAGTCACAAGAAGTGGGATGAAGAGCAAGGAAAGCAGCCAAGGGGCAGGAAGAAAGGAGTAAAGACTCACAGCGATAGGCACATATGGTCATTTTTCTTTTGTATTATAGTTTTTGGTGTCTGTTGTTCAATAAGATTTTTAATGACATAATTATATATCATGATGCTTATACCTTTTAGAATGTATAATTCAGTAAGTTTTAGCATATTGATGAAGTGCTATCTTTGTCACCACTCTGATTATAGAACATTTGACCCCCAGCAGGAACTCCCATACCCATTAATAGTCATTCACTGCTCTCACCCAATCTAGAGACCACACATCTGCTCTCCATTCCCATGGGTTTGTCTGTTCTGGATGTTTTGTATGAGTACAAACAATAACGTCTGTTCTTCTATGAATGGCTTCCTTTACCTAGTAGAGTTTTCTAGGTTCCTGTAGTGTGCACCAGCACTTTACTCCCTCTACGTCTCTTTCCTCAAAGTTTTAGCTCTGAGTCAAGTCAAATCACAAAATTCACTACAGAGTTTCCCTAGGGAATCTACCAGACAAATCAAATGTGGTGATTCTTTAAGGAGGAGGCTTTTATTTATTTATTTTTTACACTCCAAAATTGTTCTGGTCCATTCTGTGGATGCTGCTAAGCTGTTGATCTCACAGCATCCCTGGTTTCAAAATTGTAGAATTTTGAGATTATTATGGGGATTAGAAGAGAGAGTGAGAACAGGATAAATTCAAATTCAACAAAGCTAGATAGCCTGACTCTTGGAAACAAAGCAAATTCCCTAAAGACTTTGGTTAACCTCCACAGATCTGGGAAGGTCAATATCAGCATTTTTCTCTACTCCATTCATTGCTTCTGTGGAGAGGCAAACATTTGTGGTTCCTATACTGTCATCTGGAAGATGGCTCTTTCTTGATATTCCAAAGTTCCTTTGCCCCTGATTATAGAAGAAAACTTAGAAAGGGCACAAACATTCATGGAAATGAAATAAAATATGTCACATAAAAGTTTATTACTGTCAGGCAGTGGTGACACACACTTTTAATCCCAGAACTCAGGAGGCAGAGGCAGGCAGATCTTGGGGAGTTCAAGGCCAGCCTAGTCTACAAAGTGAGTTCCAGAACAGGTAGGGCTGTTACACAGAGAAACCCTGTCTCAAAAAAAAATGTTTCTCACCACTTGGAATATCACCCTCTTTTATGCCGTTTCCATATAATTTGCTGATGTTTTTCTCATCTAGGGCAGCTAAGCTACTTCCAACATAATAATAAAAATAATATTGTCTTGAATATCCCTGCAAAGACTTTATGTTTCTGGTTAGTTGAGATGAATTGCTTAAAGTCTTTTTATAATTCTAAGGTTTAAAGTTTATATTAAATATTTGCACCTTAAACAAGGGTAATTACTAAGTTCGAAACAGAAGTATCTAAACATATCTTCTCTAGTTTTATAACAAAAAGAAAATATGTAGAACTATATGTTAGATATGTAAAAGTATACAAATTACAAGATTGCTGAATCTTCAAAAAATGAGTACTGGTGTGGCAATCATGCCCATCAAGGTCAGGATGATGTGGAAGACACTGGTGATGGGGCGACACTGTACTGTGCTTTGTATCCCAAGTGGACCTCAAAGTCATGACACCCCCATCTCAGCCTCCTGTGCTGTGGATAACAGTCAGGTGCCACCATGCTGGATTAACCAGACTGTATTCTGTGAATAACTGTCATATGTCTAATATTGGGGTTGTTCCTATGAAGACCAGATTACTAAAATCAGATTCTTCTGAGATTTTCAGTTCTCCCATCTTCTGTTCTGTAGCTGTGGTCTAGAGTACAATGTTTAAATGTTCAGCAGCTCAAGTTCCTCATTCCTAAAATTAAGAACATCAGTATGTACTTCCCAGGATTGTGACAAGTGTAAAATGAGTTGAGCAGGTAGTAGAATGCCTGTAACACAGTAAAATCCTAATACATTTCAGTTCTTCTCCTTTTTTCTATTTGCCTCCTACATGATATAGACACACTTTCCTCAAGATTTAGCCAAAGGTAAGGTAAGAGAACAAGGACTCCAACAAATAGGGACCATGCACAGTTAAATAGAGTGATGGGAAGTAGAAAAGAAAACCACAGCTTAGCTTTCTCTGCTGTATTTTCATCTCATATGAAAAATTATTCACTTGTCAGTCATGTATGCAATATTTAGTGTATCTAAACCAATAGTATATGTCAAGATCCATGGAGCTGTGTTCAATTTTATAAATTTGATAATTGTTCCTAAGAGACAGCTATTATGTTTTATTTGATTTGGAATAAACATGGAAATTATCTTGCTCTGTATTACACTATTCTGTTTTCTGTATAACACAATACCTGAAGATGGGTACTTATCAATTGAAAGGCTCCATTTAGCTCATAGTTTGGAGGCTGAAAGTTCAGTTTCATGTAGCCACTTCTGTTTGGGTTTTGATGAGGATTCTCTTGGCTACAATACGTGTCAGAGGATGGGAAGGGAACAGCAGTACGTGGAAGAGTGTGAGTGCACAGGGTGGCCTTGCTTGCTCTCTTGAGTCTCTATAAAGCTACATCAGTCTCTTTGGAGGGACATGCCCAGGGGTCTAATCAGTTTCAATAGCCCCCCCCCTTGTAAAGTTCCCACTGTTCTGTAAACCCCCATCACTGTTCAACTGGGAATTGAGTTTCTAGCTCATGAATCCTGACTTTAGCAATATCCAAGTCATAGCATGGATTCTTTTCAAAGTGCCCTGTGTCTTTCCTGCATCTAATTTAATTCTATAGCTTCCTCCAGGGTCAGTACAATGGTGCCAATGTTCTACTAACTTTTAGTACCTTTTATTGACCAATTATTACACAGAAGTAATAGTCTTGAAACTATTATTGATCTCTGTCTTCTATTACTCACCTTGATTTTTAAGGCACTGGCACCAATAAATACACAAATGTTTTTAAGATTATATGCATGTTAATGTAGTCATTATTTATACTAGTCACTAAATGTCAGGATAAGAGTGATATAAAATGAGCATCATTTTCCAAAGAGATGTCCTTTGAGGCAGGGGACCACAAGGGAAGAAAAGGTTGAGCATTTTGTGAGCACTATCCCTCTAAGAGGCTAGGGCATGTACTTCTTCCTCTCCTAGGATAAAGAAAGTTTGCAGCTAGAGGGAAGAGACTTGCAACAAAGAGGAAACTCTGTTAAAGCCAGAGATGTACCTCAGAAAAGTCTGGGACAAAAATCTGAGAATATGAGCAAGGGTTGTTTTAGGATTATGGTATTTTCTTTCTGTGTAAGTATTTGGAAACTAAACCTTATGTAATTCAAGAAGGGTGGAAAGACAGCACACCTTAAAAGAACAAAGGAGTGAGGGAACCGGGTTAGAAAAGGGTAAGGTGTGGAAAGATGTTAAGAAATTAAGATACACAGGGTAAGGCCATTAAGGGACCAGCACAATGGGAAAGCACAAAGAATGGATGTATGAAGTTAAGATAATGGGAAGCTCATGGAGCAGGAACAATAGATGGAGACCCTAACAACAAAGAGTAAAGGAATGGGATGGTTTAGGATATAGGAGAGGTTAAGTTCTGTAAGTGAACGAAAACTATGAGACAAAGAGATACAGTGGCTGACAAAGAAAGTGGGCCTTTGACTATTGGACAGTTGTGAGTCTCCAGACAGTTGTGAGTTTCCTTGTTCATTTATCGAAGTATGGCAAAGAGCTACCAATGGGAGGCAGCTGAGGATACCTGGTCTTGACCCCTATTACAGTTCTTTGGGGATCTTTGTCTTATCTAAGGAAAGGAATATTTTCCTCCTGTGTTCTGTAGCATAGATCTTCTGCCTTTGGTCCAACCGTTCTGTGCAGCAGGTACTTGTGGGAGTGCGAGAGAATATCTTGTGAGAAAATTGTATGTAATTTATAGATAGACACTTAATACCTGAGGATAATTCACACACACAAACACACACACACACACACACACGCACATAGACACGCACGCACGCGCACACACACACACGCACTTGGCAGGTGCATTATGAAGAGCTGCAAGATAACTTTTTGTTTTTTGTTTTTTGGTTTTTTTTGGTTTGTTTTTGTTTTTGTTTCTCAAGACAGGATTTCTCTGTGCAGCCCTGGATGTGGAACTCACGCTGTAGACCAGGATGGCCTCAGACTCACAGAGATTTGCCTGTCTCTGTCTCCAGAGTGCTAGGATTAAAGGCATTCGCCACCACCGCCCACCTTCATTGAGTTCTCTCTTTTCTTCTCACTTTTACACAAAAAAATGATGAGAAAACTTAATAATTTTCTAATTGATTTGTTTCCATCTTAACTACACTAGGAAGATTATGTGTTCTAATGTCATTTACTATGTTGATTATCATGTATGTACTCCTAGTAATAGAATAATATGAAAATAGAATATTTCCTCTCCTGAAATTTGTGTCTCTTTATGCAGTGGAGCTTGAGGGCTGGAAAAAGGCTGTGGTAGTAAAGGGAGAAGATATTCAACAAGGGGTGGTCTCATTACTCCTGTATTATGATAAAGTCTGAGTTAAAATATCTCTGCTCTGGCAAATTTGTAAACAGTGGCTTCTACTTTGCAGCCCATAGGGCCTTGTGTTTGGATGAGGTCTCCACACGAAGAACATATGCAGTGACTCCAACCAGGAGCAGAAAATGGAAATGCTGAAGTGATAGCAGCCATGACCCCTCCTTGTTGGTAAGACATGTGTCCTTGAATTGTAGCATCTACTGCAAAGTTCCACAGTGTTTCCTAGTTAATTAAGAGAAAGCAGAGTCCGTATGTGTTTGTGGATCTATAGTGTTTATCTCCTCTTGTTCCCTTTGGTTCCCAGTGCTTTTAGTGTTAACTGAGCTGGTTGTGGCTGTGTGAGTGTTCATTTAAATGAGGTGAAGTCTTTTGCAAAGAAACTTAGCTTAGAGCATGGCACACAGGGACACTCAAGTTTGGTGCCTGTGGAGAGGGCTGAAGGCACGGATGTGCTGGGACTTTTGTGTTCTCAGCTGGCCTCCCCCACTCTGAAGCTTCAGCTGAGCAGTGTGGCCTGACTGTCACAGATTTGTTTTCAGTGGCATTTTGGTACTTGTTGCTGGCTCACAGTTTCTACGGGGGAAGTGTCATGCTAAAGTCTGGAGGGGCAGCAGACTGTGCCCCCCTTTGACACTATTACTCATTTCTTGAGTGGAGAATGTCATCTAGTGTCAACTTCCCCCATTTTTCAAAGTATTGGAGCTGGCTATGTCTTTGCTGTCAGTCAAGCAGAAAGCAGAGACTTCACAGACTCCAAGACAGGATGGGGGTGGGAGAGTGGCTTCCTTTTCCCTTTCTTTTCAGTATTTCTGCCTTAACATGAGTCCCTCAACCTGCTTGATCCCTTAAACAGCCCTGCAAACTTGTTTTGTCCCAGCTTCATGGTGAGAAACCTCTTATTTTAAATGTTTGAGAATCTCGCAGGGCCTTTGGGTCCCAGAAGAATGCATCAAACATAAAGACTTGTTGCTTTCAGTTTCTGCCCGTTACCCAGTGACACCAAGGCACAGGGTAAAACTTCTCAGTTTTGTTTTTATGTGTCACAAGGTCTCTGTGTCTTCCTCCTCGAATTTTCATGCATGAGAACGTATTCCATCTGCATTTTATTTGATCTTCTATGTTAACTGTGTGTTCTGGTTAGATTGGGAGGGACCTCTGATGAGCTTTCCATTTTCTTTCTGTGTGGGGAGGCATTCCTCATCATAGACTCGGGTTCCCTAGGGCCCACGATGTCAGGTAGCAAATGTCCTCTTGGCCTGCAGCTGTGAGGTTACAGTTAAATGGAACAAGGATGTTTCCAGGATTTTTGTTTTGTTTTGTTTTTCTCTCTTTTTTCCTTTTTCTTCTGCTCATCACTTACTAATACATGTATGTACTATTGAGTATTTGCATGTACCAACACTGTGCAGTGCTACAAGCTAAGTCCTCTCATATGCCTGCAAACACCAGCTTTCCTTTTGTTGTGTGGCATATCTTGGGTCTAGGGTGCTGAAGAACACATTTTTGGGACAGGCTGTCTAGGACAAAGAAGAATTAATTCATTATTTGAAAAATAAAAAGCCTGGAAAGAGATTCTGCTGACTTCCTGTATTGTGCTCAGAAGTTTGCCTAGGCTTTGGGGCTCATTTTTATGCTGTCTGGGATGAGTAGGCCTGCTCAGCACGACATGCTCAAAAAACAATGACCGGCCACAGTCTACCCATTTCTACTCGGGGACCACTGCCTTCATCTTCCCGGTGTCAGAGAACGGAACTGAGAGGCAGAGTTGTTGCATGGTGCCTAAGACTGACAGCCTCAGTCCCACTTGGTACCTACTCAGAGGGGATTTGCACATGATGTCATGTCTTCCTCCAAGCTTTGCTCAGCTCTTCTTCTCTAATAGCACTATTTCAAATTGAAAACTGCACCCTTCCAACTCCCAATCCCCCTGACTCTGCTCCTCTACAGGGCTTACCTTTTATACATATTTACTGTTTGTGTAGGAATGTGTTCTGTTCATTTCCCTGACCCTTTTGGGTTACAAATTCCACAAAGGCAAAGACTTTAAAAATATCTTGATTGTTGCATCCTAAATGCCAATGAATTATCCGGCAAAGAATAGATGCTTGATAAGTAAGTATCATTGGTTGAACAAACATATGTGCCCATAACAATACTTATTTTTACAATTAAAGTCAAGGTGCTCTGATGTTCTGAAATAGATTATGGTGACTGCTTTTAGGTTTTTCAGTCTGAGCCCAATTCCTTATGGTATCTTCACCATCCTGGTCACCTAATTCTGCTCAGGGGTTTTCAAGGGATGTTTCCTATGTACTTACAAAAAAATTCCCATTCTTGTCAGAAAGCAGGAGGCCTTAGTTGGCAGAGCTGGGCTCATGTGACATGGAGACCTCTGCCTTCCTCATGATATGCAGATTTAGACTAGCCCAGGCAGGTGTCATCTCCATTCTTTTTCCCAGAGCATTACCTAAGCTTTCAGTGCTGTTTACATTACAGTTCCATGTACAACAGTGGCAGGGATGTCTTGATTGTTTTTACCCCTCAGTTTTGTCACTCAGCCTCCGTGTGTGAATCCCTAAACAGTGTGTATCCTTGCTGTTGGAATCTGAGTGGTAAGCATAGATATGGCAGTCTGTAGGAAACAGTGTCCAGTACAGGGTTCTCACAGGAGCTGGTAAGCCTAATGGTCTCTAGGCTGTAGTCCAGATTTAATTTTCCTGAGAGTTTGTGAGTACCCCTGAGAGAAGTCAATAGGCAACAGAGATCCCAACTGAGAAACAAGAGTCATCACAGCTGACCAATGAGATTGAGTGAGTGTTTTGTGTTTTCTGTTTCCTCGTATCACCCTCCCATAGCTTGTAAGAGTCAGGCAAAGAGAGATTCTGCAGTCTGAAGGACCCCTCAGCTGTTCTAAACTGAAGAGGGCAGGGGAGGGCATATAAAGAGCATGGGGGGGTACAACAGCACTGGGGGGACATACACACAGCGCTCAGCACATGACTAGAGTAAGCCAAGCACAGGTAAGGACTGACTCTGGCTCAGCAACAGATTCCACACTCAAGTGGAAAGACTGTCTCCGAGCTGGGCATGGTGGCTCATGTCTGTAAATTCTAGCCGAAACAGAAGGCTCAGAAGAGAGAGAGGCAGGTAAAGGCTTTCAAAGTGCTGTTTGACTCATTGATGGAATGATGTGGATGTAGTTTGAAAAGAATTAGCTTGATGCCATGAACTCTTGGCACTTGGACAGTATGTTGGAGTAGGGATTCTAGTTACAAAAGCTGAGATTTGGGGTTACAGAATTGTAGGGTAGAGGCTACCTCTTGGCTTCAGTGAACTATCTGAGTATTAGCCCTGTGAAGCAGGGTCATTGTTTAACAATCCTGTTGTTTTTGTCCCTCACTCCCCTCTCTCATCCCTCCTCTTGATGAAACCCTTTCTTTTCAGCAAGCAATTCACATCTGATTTTTATATGTGACTCATTGAATTTAATTAAGGTTTTTTGTCCCTGTGTGGGTGGAAGGTTGTTTACGGGAACATGGGCAACATATCAGTGTCTACCCCATTAGAAAATGACATTTCTTCAACCAGCAACTATAAACTGCCAAGATAAACACATCTGCAGTGAGTTAATAAGGGTAATGTTTTTGTTATGCCCAGAAGACAGCCAAAACACCTAACTATATATTAAAATATACAAATATTTCTGTCCAATACTTGTATATTTTAATAAAACATTTGTAAGAATTGAAAGTATGAAAACATTAAGACACAATAATATTGGCCTATGAAATTGTGAGTGCATTCAACCCTTCTCTCTCCACAAGAAATCTACATTTTCTTTAATTATGTCTGTTTCTTATCAGAAAAAAAACACAATCCAAGGAGAAAGCAAAATGACAAAGCTATTAAAAGGTCAATTTTTTTGAAAAAATTAAATTATTTCATTTTCACTCAAACAATTGTATCAAACAGCCAAGATTACCATAGTATTAGTGGACTGAGATGTGAGTGGGTTGAGTGCTGATGTATTTGGGTCTCAAATCACCCAATAAATACATTCTAATTGTCCCAGCAGGCTGACTCTCTGTCCCTGTTTCACCATGGCATTAGTGTGTGTAAAATTGTTATTCTGTAATAACTCAGATTAAAACAAAGCATCATGTCACTCAGACAGGATGATTATTGCTAAAGATTAAGTTTGCTAAGATTAAAGATCAAAGCTTTACTTCTCTCTGCACTCTGTCAGCAAAGACAGAGGGTAGAGGCTACCTCTTGGCTTCAGTGAAAACTAGCAGCTTTTCCAATGGTCGCACAGATGGCTCTGGTGAAACTGAATGGGTCACAAAAGGGAGAGGGTTGTTATAAGTGGCAAGGGTTAGTTAATTGAGGTTGGAGGGAGAAAAAGGACACTACAGGAATAAAGCAAACAGAATGCATTGTACCCACGCAAGGAATTGTCCAAGAACAAACCTAATAAAAAATAAAACTATAAGATGTTGTATGTGTTTTCATTTTATTTGGAATCACTTATAGGTGCACATCGTATCTACGAGGAGGATAAAATAAAAAGAAGTTTGAAAAACTAAGCAAAACCCCTCTGTTTTTTGCTGCAAAATAGGAGGTTTTAGAATTGCAGCTACAGAATTCTGTAATTCAATCCAATACACAGCTTCTAGGGCAGAGGTCTCAACCTGTGTGTTGTAAACTTTGGAGTCGGAACGGCCCTCCTACAGGGGTCACCTAAGACCACTGCAAAACACAGATATTTACATAGAAATTCATAACAGTAGCAAAATTACAGTTATGAAGTAGCAGCCAAAATAATTTTATGATTGGGGTGGGGGAGTCACCACAATGTGAGAAACCGGGTTAAACAGACTGAGAAACACGGCTGGGGGGTGGGGGAGATTGCTACTTCTGGGAGTGGCCACATGGTGGTGCAGTGACACTTCACAAAAACGGCTCAGCCTCTTAGGAAGCAAAAAAAAAAAAAAAAAAAGATTAGATCCTTACAGGGAGGGCTTCACCAACTCCAGGGGACCTCCAGAAAGAGAGGAACCGGCCCCATGTGCCTCTGGCTTCCAGAACAGACACGGTGGTTCTAACATTTGTGTTAAAAATGTGCTTGGACTTCTCCCAGAGAAGATGCATGAGACTTTCCCTTGTGG